TCATCTAGCTAGACGTGAGCTGTGGATGATCTTCAGGGACAGCTGCCCCAGTGAGTGGATAGTAGGACTGCACATATGAAGATCCCCATGTTTTTGATGTCTACTTGTGGTTCGATGTGGCAGGCAGCTAAACACCACACAGCCATTCCCTCCCGCTCCAGTGGGATGGGGCAGAGAATTGGAAAAAGGTAACATTTGTAGGTTGAGATAAAGACAGTTTAATAGGACAGAAAAGGAAGGGGAAAATAATACTAATAATAATGATAAAAGAATATAGAAGGCAAGTGATGCACAGTGCAGTTTCTCACCACCTGGTGACTGATCCCAGACAGTCCCTGAGCAGCAGCCACCACCCCTGGCCAGCACCCTCCAGTTTTATTGTTCAGTGTGACCCCATATGATATGGAATCTCCCTTTGGCCAATCAAGGTCACCTGTCCTGGCTGTGTCCCCTCCTAGCTTGTTGTGCACCCCCAGCCTGCTTGCTGGCAGGGCAGTGTTAGGAGCTGACAAGTCCTTGTCTTGGTGTGTTCACTGTTCAGCAGCAGCTAGAACTTCAGTGTGTTATCAACATTGTTCTCATCCTGAATCCAAAACACAGCACTGCACCAGCTACTAGAAAATTAACTATCGCAGCCAAAATCAGGACACTGCTTTCCCATCAAAGAGATGAATGTCCTTGTTAGCTGTGACTCCTAATAATCCCAGGACTGGCTAGAAAAGCCAAGTCTCTTTACTGGAAAAAGCTTGAACCTCTTGTGTGGTGTTTAGTTCCCATTTCCTAACATGGCTTTGTCTGTGGCAGGTATTACAGTGGGTGACATTGGGCCAAAGTTTGGTTATGATGAAATGGATAATGGCTACCTGAAAATGGACAACTTCAGAATTCCTCGGGAAAACATGCTGATGAAGTATGCCCAGGTAAACCAGTGCATTCCAGCATATGCTGTTAGAAATGGACACTTCAAATGCTCTTGTGTGATCGAATTGTGTACCAAAAAGATTGTAGGTTGTTTCTAAATGCTACTTGATGAGTTTAGAGCTTGACGTATGAACATGTAAAAGGGAGGACACTTTAAAAACCAACAGGCTGTGGGGTTGTTTTTTTAATTTGGTGGTTTGGTTTTTTTTTTTTTTTTTTTTTTTTTTTGATAGGTTGAACCGGATGGCACCTATGTGAAGCCACTCAGTGACAAGCTAACCTATGGGACCATGGTGTTCATCCGGTCGCTCATTGTAGGCGATTCTGCTCGCTCCCTGTCTCGGGCTTGTACCATTGCCATCCGCTACAGCGCAGTGAGACACCAGTCTGAGTTAAAGCCAGGGTAGGTGCAGTGAAATAAGAGTGGCCTTAAATGCTGAGGGAAAATCCTCAAGTACTGGAGGGAAGGAGGACTGTGGCTGATACTTGCTTTAGCACTTGATAGTTTCAAAACACTGTTTCATCCTAGGAAGTGAGTGATCTTTCATTCTTGACTGCCAAATGTCTTCCCCCTGCCAGAGGCTTTACTGTATGGTCTGAAATAGTCTGGCTTGATATGGCTGCAGCTTGTACTCAAGTGAAGAACCTATTGAGAGTTGAATAGGACTGCTGCAGCAGTTTGTTAGCCACTGGCATACTAACTCATTTGTATTTTGCTCTAGGGAGCCCGAACCCCAGATCTTGGATTATCAGACCCAACAATACAAACTCTTTCCTCTCCTGGCAACAGCATATGCTTTTCATTTTGTGGGAGCCTACATAAAAGACACTTACCGTCGGATTAGTGGAGACATCAACGAAGGGGATCTGAGTGAGCTGCCAGAGGTACTGTGTCCTCTGCAGTCAGAGGGGTGGTTTCTAATTTTTACCCAGGTTTCTTTATAGCATGGAAAAAAAGGCTTCAATGCTTTTTGGCTTTCACTCCTGAGATGATTTCTACTGCTTTGGATTTGAAGATCCCAAGCCCAGTATGTGCTTGTGACTTCTTTATTTGCAGTATTCATTTAGCAGCCTTTTATAAAAAAATATAAATTAATGCACAGTGAGAAAGCTACTGTGTATGTATATTTTTTAAAAGGTGACTTTCCAGGAATGGTGGTGTATTGTTTGGGAGCAAAGTTAAGACTGGTCTTGTGCTGTAGCTCCTTGGTTGTCCTTCCAGGTGACTAGGGTTTTGAATAAAAAGTATCAGTACTATACCGAGGGGTTAGGGTTGTATAATGATAGTTTTCAGTTAGGGATTCTGTCTGAGAACCTACTGCGACAACACACAATTGAGTAGAGTTTTGCACATACAATGTGTAGAGACAGAAAGGATGGGCTAGTCAAAAGAAGTCCTTACATGTACAGAGGTTTTCATAAAGCCTTCCTCAGGGAAGAGTTCTTACAAGATAAATCAGAGCCTGTGGGACAGTGGAAGCATGGTGTTGACTACTTTTTCTGGGAGCCACAGTACTGGGCATGTGGGCAAGCTAAAACTTGAAAATAAAACTATCTAAACTGGCTTTGCTTTTGTACATCAGCTCCATGCACTAACAGCAGGGCTGAAGGCGTTCACTTCCTGGACTGCCAATGCTGGTATTGAGGAATGTCGGATGGCATGTGGTGGGCACGGCTACTCTCGCTGCAGCGGCATTCCTGACATCTATGTCACGTTCACCCCATCCTGCACCTACGAGGGAGAAAACACAGTCATGATGCTGCAGACAGCTAGGTATGGTAGCTCTGTCCAGAGACATTCTTGCCTTGGCATTCTGATCTTTGAAGTGATGAGCAGAAGAGTATCCCATATTACCACGAAACTCGCATCTCCTCTTTCTGTCCCTTGCCCTATTTTTGACAGAAAATAAGCCTGCAGCTGTTCCTTGCTAGTCTGAGCCTAGGTAAACTGACTTCATTCATACAACGCCTGTGTAAGAGTTGCTGTTTGTTGTCTCTTTCCAGATTCCTTGTCAAAAGCTACACCCAGGTTGGTTCTGGGCAGCGGGTTACTGGCATGGTGTCCTACCTTAATGATCTCTCCAGGCAACGTATCCAGCCACAGCATGTGGCTGCCAGGACTGTGACTGTGCGGCTCAATGATCCAGTCAGTTTGGTAGAGGCCTATAAAGCACGTGCTGCCTGGTGAGTTCATGCTTCCCAGACTGAGCCAAGCACCAGTCAAACTGTGTGTCTTGGGAGGGGATGGTGATGTGCTGCTCTGTCAATGTCAGATTCTCCAGGCGTGGTTTGCAAAGCTTTGCTCCATGTGTTGGTGGCAGGAAGTGACATGCATTACCAGATTAGGGTCAGTGTAAGAATGGTGAGACATCCTGTGGTGGGCTGCCAGAGACTGCATAGTTGAAGCCCAGAAGAGCTTGCTCCATTTTTATTGAATTCATGAAGTCAGTAGGGCTTCAGGGCTTCATTAGTCAAGTGCTTTGAGGTTAAAGAGGCTCCTTAGCTCCTCTGTTCTCTGTTCTATTTTAAAATATCTCATATTTGCATGTAAAGTATATTTGAGCATACAAATAGATTCTTCAAACTGCTCAGACATCTATCTGAAGAGAAACAATCCTGATACTAAAGCCTGTTGTGAAGGAAGTGTGAGAGTAGAACAGATGCCTACACATGAGTAGGTATTCAAGTACCACAAATATGCTAGCCAATGTCATCTTACCCTCTGTAGCTGTGTTCTAGCTGCAGAAGAGATAATGGGTGATTTAGAGCCACAGCTTTTCACTCCAGTGTATTCAGTTGTGGCACATGATCTCACAGTAGTTCTGATGTGTTAGACTGAAATTCATGTGACTTCGGTGTATGTAATCCTGTTACTGTAGTGTTACTGTGTAATGTGGTTTTCTTCCTTTTATGAAACAGGCTTGTAGAAGCTGCAGCAAAGAATTTGGAAGCTGAACTGGACCACAGAAGGAGCAAGGAGGATGCCTGGAATAAAACTTCTGTTGATCTTGTGCAAGCATCTGAGGTGAGTGATGTGCCTGATAAAGGAAAGCACTAGAAGAACTTCTCACCTCCTCATAAACCTGATTCACCTTCCTTTTTGTTTCTTGTAGGCACACTGTCACTATGTGATAGTGAAGCTTTTCACAGCAAAGCTGGCTGAGATCAGTAACGCAGCTGTCCGTGCTGTCCTGACTGAGCTGTGTCTCCTGTATGCACTCTATGGGATCAGCAAAAACACAGGGGACTTCCTGCAGGTTGGTGTCATCCTCCAACACTTTAAATCTTTTAGAGCCAGGCTCGTTGTTTGCAAAGATGCTTTAAATGCAGAGTTACGAGTGCTTAGGTGTAAGTTCTGTTGACTTCCAGAAGGCCATTAGCAGTGCAGGTCTGATGGAAGGCTCTTGTCAAGTTTTAGTGGTGATCTACTACAGAAGCAGAGTTGGATGATAAATCAGTCTAGGTTAGCTTGAATGTTTTCCAGTTGGTGACTGGGTGCTGTATGTTCAAAACCAAGGAGTCAGTAAAGGAGATACATGTTAGATTTCAGTGAATGGGTTTATATTGTCAGGCATTACTTCTCTTGATTCTCTCAGTTTGAGAATGTATTTGTGCAGCAGTGTTTTACTTTGTCTTCAGGCAGGCACAGTATGTTTTGTCTTCCCATTTTCCTCTTTGCTGCTTTTGGTTCCCTGAAACCAGGATGAATTTAATACACACTTCTGCACATTCTTCAGGACACTTGCTACTAAAGCTAATGTTCAGGCACTCCAAAGAATGAGTCTCCCACCCGAGCTTAAATAGCTGGGCAGTGTGGTGGGTTGTGCTAGGCAGCTCCTTTTGCTTGTGCACAATGGCAAATTTGATTACTTAGTACTTGGGGAAGAAACACCAAAATTCACTGTTCTATGAACTGCTGCATTTGGGGGATGGGGAAAAGGCTGACCTGTGTTAAAACACAGGGGAGAGGAAGGTTCCTGTGGCTTGGATTCTTTTCTGCTAATCCCTATTTTTTTACCCCCCAAGGCGGGTATCTTGACTGATGCCCAAATTACTCAAGTGAAGCAGCGTGTGAAAGAGCTCTTGGCTGTGGTTCGTCCCAATGCTGTGGCCCTGGTGGACTCCTTTGACTTTCATGACAGTCACCTGGGATCGGTGCTTGGCCGCTACGATGGCAATGTCTATGAGAACATGTTTGAGTGGGCAAAGAAATCCCCACTGAACAAAACGGAGGTAAAGAAACCTTATTTCTTCATCTCGGGCCATGTGTGCTTAAGAAAAATAACTCAGTTTAGGGTTGTTGTCTGCTGAGACCATTGGATCAAAATTAATTTATGAAGGGGGGAGAAAAGTCACTGGTGGTAATGGACCAAAATTAGCAACCTACTTCTGCTTCTCTGCTTTCAGCATACATAGTTCCTCTCCTATGTTTGCCTCACATGCATCCTTGTGGGATACTTCAGAGTTTCTCAGTTGAGGGAGGAATTCACATGCTCCATAGAGAAACAATGGAGTAATCTCATGGACTTTAAAAGCAGTTATCACTTGCTGTTAGTGCTGCTTAGTGACTGGAGCTGTGAAAGTCCTAGCTACTTCCTGGGAAATCTGCCAGTGCCTTCAGGCAGTAGTAGAGACTGGAGAAGAAAATAAATTGCTCCTGTGTAGTACTTCAGTGTCAGGTGTTGCATATCTGCATCTGAGCTAATAAGATAAACTGAGCTAAGAGGAGACAGTGTCCTTCTTCCATCAGCCAAAGCAGAACTCTAAATCCTGTCTCAATGGAATTTAATGCCTTTATTTCATTTGGACAGACTATCTAATATGATGGGCTGCCAGAGACTACAGCTGTAGTTGAATCCCAGCAGAACTCCACTCCATTTTATTGAATTCATGAAGTCAGTGGGGCTTAGGAGCTTCATTACTCCCACTAGGAGACCTCTCCTAGTTTTACTTTAATTAAAATGCCAAATTGTCTGTATGCATGCGAGATACCTTGCATTCTCTTCTTACAAGAAAGGTAGTGGGGAGGCTGGGATTTTTTGGGGGAATGTCTATATTCTTGTGCTTTTTGTCACGTAGACACTCAAATACAGGAGTTAGCTGGCTGATCTTAAATCTCCAGAGTGCCTCTGATTCAGATTTCCTTAAGATAAAAACCCACTGCAAGATGAGAAGAGCTAAAATGGCTTAAAAATGAGGCCTGATCTTGTTGTAACCACTGTCTTCTATTACAGGTTCACGAGTCTTTCCACAAACACCTGAAGCCGATGCAAGCCAAGCTGTGAAACCTCATGGTTTTTTTCCTGAGCTGAGAACTGTGTCCTTCCTTCAGGCTCTTAAATCAAACCTCTCAAATCATGGTAGCTGTAGGACAGTGAATAATTATAGCCTTTCTTCACACTTTTCTAAGTCGAGGAGGTGTTTGGGCAGAGTGCATAGGGATCGATGCCTGTTTTTAAAGTGCAATTCTAATGTTAAGATTAACCTTTTTGAAATCTGGGAAAGCTTTATCTATCCACACAAGGATTGCTTTTGTGAAGCTGCTAACTCGAGACAAGTTAGGGTCAACTGGAAAGCTAGCAGGATTTTACTACTAGGTAGTTAACAGCCCTCAGGCCATAGCTTCTAAAAAGCGGTTATGTCCTCCCCCCAGAAAGCATCAATGTCTTGATTTTGATTTTATTTTTAAGATTAGCACCACCTCTCTCCTTATATGGCACATATTTATGTTGTCTAAAGCCTCCTGTATGGCTTTGTGCACATCAATCTGCATGGGGCACTACTTTCCTGATGTAGTGGGAAGTAAATACCCATCCTTCTCTGGAGCTCTGCTTCATTCATCCTTCCAGAAAACATCTTCATGTTTTCCAGTGCATCCTTTCACTGCCCTGCAGCAACTCCTTTTGCTGTGTGCCTTCTCCAACGCTGGCACCAGACTCCTAGTGTGAAGTCAAAGGAGAATGTAGTGATGCTGCTCTGAGGAAAAAAAACCCCATGTAGTAGTAATAATCAGCTAGGTGCTGATAAGAGATGTTCTGCCTTTCTTTTAACTTAGTATTTTCATGGCACTATCTCAAAGCACTTTACAAATGTTACTTAATGGAGATTTGATGTGAAAAACCACGTGGAGTGGTAGAAACTGCAAATTTGACCTGGAACGGCAAAGCCAGTATCTGAGAGCAAAACTCAGTTGACCAAGGTCCTTGGTTCTTCAGATTGTTCTGGGAGGTTCTAGTTTTTAAAAACATTCTTGAAGAAATAGACAATCCCAAGTGTCCAGATTTTTTTTCCTACCTGTGCATTTCCAAGGAGCTTTCTCTGATTTGCTTAATTTTAGTTTTACATTGACTTGGGATTTGGGCAGCGCTTTCTGGATTTAATGGGACAAAGACTGAGCTTGTACCAGAACCTCCTGGTACCCTGGGACATCAGTGCAACTGCCACTAAGCAAACTCCTTGCTATTCTTCAACACCAGTAACTCTGTCCGGTAACAATAAAACCCCTCTTCATGCAGAGAAGAGCATCTTTGAGCTTCAAATGGTAAAAAGCTTTTAGTGTAGACCTAAATCCTGCAGTTGTGTGGAGCTGGTGCTCTGGCAGCTTTGTCATCTGTAAGGCTCTCATTTTGGATCAGTTTTAGGGATGATTTTTTCCTGGCACTAACAATGATCAGACACAATGTTTGCCTCCACCTGCAGTAGGTGAACAGAAAGAGATGTTTAAATAAAATGATTAAACTTGCCTTTTGGCTGCGGAGTCTTTCAGGTTGAAAGGGGCTTTGCCTTCTGTTTAGGTGATAGACCTGGGGAGGGGTGATGGAGGAGCAGGTTAAAAATACATTGATGAGAAGAGTACTGGCCAACTATGTACAGATTTAATAAATGACCAAACCGTTTTCAGACAAACTGTCTCTATTTTGTGCATTGCCTTCAGGATCTCATCTGAAGTAGCAGAGATGTGATCGTGGTGTTGGGCAGGAGCAGCTTTAATTCACAGAAGCCGTTGATTTATTGTTCCCGCTGTGTTCCCGGATAGGGATGTGTGGGTTAATGCTGGGCTGCCCTGCTCCGGGGCAGGGCATTGTCCACGTGGTTCATCTTGCCGCTGTTCGCCGTGATACCCGAGTGCCCACAGCCCACCCCACCCCGTGTGTCTTCTGCCCTGAACCGGCCGTCGCACCGGCCAACAGCAGCGGCTGAGCTGTCACGCGGCGGTCGTTTGACCGTCGAACGGCGGTTTGAGCTGTCGAGGGGCGGTTTTGCTGTGTCTTTCGGCGCTGCAGCCTCGCTAAGACTCGTTCCTCTCCGCACAGCGTGTGCTCCGCGCTGCCCGAGCTCCTCGCCAAGGCGCTGCGGGAAACAGAGCGGCTGGTCCCGGCTGCCGGGATGGGGGTGGGCAGCGGAGGAGAGGGAAGGGCGGGATAGGGGAAGCCGGGCCGTGCGGCCTGCCTGGGGCGGGACACACACACCTTGAATTTGTCTTATTTCAGGCTCCGTTGATTCCGAAATGTCTCTTGAATTTGCCGGAGATGCCCAGCCGGCCCGAGGCAGGAGGGGGAGAGTCCTGGGCACCAGCTCGCAGGACAGTGAGAAGTGAGTGCATTTCAGATACAGCCTCTCTCACGGAGAGATCCCTCTGGGCTGCCCAAGCCCAACCCGGCCTTGAACACTGCCCGGGATGGGGCAGCCACAGCTTCTCTGGGCACCCTGTGCTAGCGCCTCAGCACCCTCACAGGGGAGAGCTTCTGCCTAAGATCTAACATAAGTTTCCAGCAAACGTTGAGTGCCCCCGAGTACATCTTGTGTAAATCTCCTTTACGGCAGTTGCTTGTTTAAATCCAGTAGTGCCAGCACTACTGTCTTTTATCCCAGTGCTGTTTTAGCTCTTTCAACATTTCTGTGTTGTACCAACTGGCCCCCTCCACCTCCCACAGGCTCACCTGGGGGTCCCCAGGGCACCCTTAATGAGCTCACATGTGGTGCTGCTGAGCCCCTGCTTGTATCACAGGTCCTTTCTCGAGGATGATTTCTTCAGCAGGCGCTGTGCGCAGAACATGGGAGCTAGAGAGGTGAGCCCAAATTTAAGGAGAGAGCCGGGATGTCCCAGGGGCTGGGGCTGAGCCGGGCCAGGATTGTTCCCGGTATCGCCCCATCCAAGTCAGCAGTGGGATATCGGGGGTGAACGGCAAAGGTTGGCTGAAGAGGTAAACCCTCTCTGGCACCCTTGTGGGGTGGGGAAGATGGGACAGGGCAGTGGCTGGATGCTGTGAGAAGGGCTTTCAGGTGCCCTGGGTGAGACAGAGCAAAGCCAGGGGGGCACGTGCTGCTGGGTGAGCTTCAGGTCAAGTGTTGTAGGAAAGACCCTCACCCAAAGCAATGGCCTTGTGTTTTCCTGATGCTTCTCCCAGAGGCAGCAGGATGTCAGCTAAGGAACTGAGGAATGGGTGAGGTTGGGCAGCTATTCCTCCATCCCACAAGATGAGGAAAACCAGGGGCCGGAGTGAGGGGTGAGGAGTTTCCAACACACACTCATCTCTGATGTTTCCCCTCCCTGGCATGCAGGGATCCAGTCCTCCAAACGCAGACCTGCTGCAGACCGAGAAGGTACGTGCATCAATACTCTCCATCTCAGCCCCACGTGTGCTGCAGCCATGGCCTCCAAAGGGAGGGATGTTGCAGAGTCATGAGCAGCACCCGCCCTGCTCCCATCCTCGTCCTCTTGCTTCCCAGACTATGGAAGACACAGAAGCTGAGTTCCTGGGAAAGCTGTGAATGAATCGGAGGCCACGGAAGACACCTGTGAAAGGTGCTGGGAAATGTGGCTCCTTGGGAGGAGGAGTAAAAATCACAGGGAAGCACCAAGCTCCTGAGAAGGAGATACGGTGTTCCTTTTCACAGCCTGATTGCAAACAAATGGGATGTTTTCATGTAGGATAGAGAACAAGAAATGGTTTTGTTCCCGAAAATCCTTTTCCTGATCCCTTTTTGGGGGACTGTTATTCTGGCCACATGTTGTCCCCTGGGAGATCCCCGGCTTCCCACTGGGCTCTGATTACAACACTAACATCAGCAGCAAGAGTGGCCGTGCTGCTGCCTCCCACCAAACACCATTTGGCTGTTCCCTGGTACAAAGTGTTCCTAGTGGGATCTTCTTGATCTCTGTGGAGAGAGAGCCAGAGGGGTTGCATTTAAGATATGCCGGTTCCCAAAGTGTCCTGCTCTTCCCCAGGCCCTTTTCTGGGAGATGGTTCCTGGGGGCATTTGCATTTTCACGGGTGCTTCAGTTTTTAATGACTGTCTGTAACACATGGGAGCCCTTGTGTCAGGGGGATTCTGTCCAGCTTCCAAACTGGGGCGGTGGTTTCCTGCCTCAGCTGAGATCTGGTTGTCAAAGCCTGTGCTTTAGCCAACATCAGCATATCTTAAAACTCTAATGGGCTTTGGGTGATTTATGTGGGGTTTTTTCTCTCCTTTGCCTAACAATGTTCAAGCAGTAAAGCACCCAAAGTGTGAGTTATTTTCTTCCAGGAATAAAAAAAAAATGTGGAAAAACTGAACAGAAATTTAATTCTTAAGTGTTTGAAGTTCAGGGAGACCCAAGGATGTCCTAGATGTCCCAGAATGCAGAACCTGCATTCATGGCTTTGGGCACATAAGGTCTCGAGTGCCCATGTGCGTGTGGTGGGGGATAGTGCTTGTCTTAGCACAGAACTGTTCTTCTAAAAAATGTTGGGTTTGTTTGTTTATTGTATTGTTCTCCTTTCCTCTGGGAATTCCCAGATACAGATACCGTCTTGAGTAAGCTTTTGTGTGATGAGAAGCCGGGTTCTCCCAAGAAGCCAGCTCCAACAGGCCTTGAAAGCATATTAGAGCAGAGCAGAAGTAAAGGTAAGGAGGGTTACTCGATGCATCTTCTTTGTGTTAAATGGATCGGCAGCCCGGAGAGGAGTCTGTATGAGGTCCAAAGAGCGAACTGCATGACCTGTCAGACAAGGTGAAGGCCATGCACCAAATCACGTCCCAGGAGCTGACACAGCAGTGGGACAAGCAGCTCAAAGGTACGTCTGTGGTTCCTCTGTGCCAGACTGGCTGCAGGGTCCCCACCAGGGCTGGGTACACCCAGGAAATAGGGAGGAGTTGCTCTGAGACAGCCAGAGGCTGGGAGCCTGAAACAGCAATTCCACATTTGATCTTCTGTTTCTGATTCCCGGGGTAGAGATGTGTGACCTGCACTGCTTATAAATTGTATATAGCCAGTGCAATGTGTTAAAATTCCAAACTATTG